TAAACCGAATGACACGAGAAAATAACGATGAGGAACGAAAGCTCCCAACAGGACAAGGGGGAAAAGAGAAATCTAATGGATTTTAGCCGTAGAAATGCGGTAGGAATGATCGTTGTGTATCTTCCTAAATATAATATAATCGAGTTCATCACCATTGCTGGTAAGAATTGATGAAGATTGTTCGTTAATCGAAGAAAGAGTGAAGGAAAAAAAAGAAAAAAAATGAGTGCAGAAGATGGGAGCCATGATTGATTAACGGATGTTGCAAGAAACTAACACAGAGAGGTGCGAAAAGTGTTTGGTTGGACAAGCGGAAATATAGTTGTCTCACTTTTTTAGAGTTAGTTAATGTGGTTACTGGTTACTGTATATATAATGGGGATAATTACACTTTTGGTCCCTCATGTTTGGTCCGATTTCACTTTTGGTCCCCCTTGTTCTAAAGTGAACCAAGTTCACCTCCAAGTTTCAATTTTAAACATTTTTGGTCCCTGCCGTTACATGTCCGTTAGCAAGTAACGGAAAACACTATTTTGGGGGTGAAAATTGAAATTTTAATTTTTTTTGGGGCTGAAAAATAATTATAAATTTACAATAGACTACCTATAAGTTTTAATAATAAAAAAAAAAGAAATTAACGAAACAAAGTATTTTTTATGATACCTAATATTATTATAATTATACTACTTATAATTAAATTTTTAATAATAAAAAAATTAACTAAACAACTTATTTTTAGTCATACTTAATATTATTTTTAATTATACTACTTATGATAAAAAAAATTAATACAAAAAAAAAAAAAAACAAATTAGCTAAACAAATTATTTTTAATTATACTTAATATTATTACAGTTATACAACTTATATTAATTTTTAAGAATAAAAAAATAAATTAACCTAAACAAGTTATTTTTAATTATACTTAATATTATTTTTAATTATACTACTTATAATAAAAAAATAATAAAAAAAGAAATTAGCTAAACAAATTGTTTATAATTATACTTAATATTATTATAATTATACTACTTATAATTAGATTTTTAATAATAAAAAAAGAAATGAATTAAATATATTAATATGTATTATACTTAATATTAGTTTTAATTATACTAATTATGATTATTTTTTTAATAATAAAAAAAAATAACTAAATAAATTTCATTATGCTCAATATTATTAAAGATTTAATTATAAATAGTCTATTTTAAATTTCTAATTATTTTCCAGCCCCAAAACAATTTAAAATTTTAATTTTGGCCCCAAAATAGTGTTTTCCGTTACTTGCTAACGGATATGTAACGGCGGGGACCAAAAGTATTTAAAATTGAAACTTGGAGGTGAACTTTGTTCACTTTGGAACTAGGGGGACCAAAAGTGAAATTGGACTAAACATGAGGGACCAAAAGTGTAATTATCCCATATATAATCAGTTTAATTTTTTTTTTATTTTTTTTATTTTTTTTATGTTTTTTTTTAAATGCAGAAATGATCAATTAAATTGTTTTGTATATTTGTTCAAATAAAAATAAATTTATTAATAATTTGTTTTGTACTTTGTATGTCAAAAATTGGTAATTAGTATAAAGCCAAATTACGGCCACCCCCAAAGGTATGGCCAAATTATGAAGAAAAACCCTCTTGTTTGGGTAATTACAACCCCCCTCTTTTAAATATTTTTACAAAAAAAAATATGTAATTCGGTTATTTATCGAACCAAATCGTATATTTAGTTTGGTTAACGGTATGAAATGTTATAGTACCAAAATTTTGGTTCGGTTTCACCAAATTAACATCCCTAAATTTACCTCTGGAGGAGTCTTTTCGTAAGATAATACATAGTTGAGGGGGGTGGCTGCAATTACCCAAACAGAAGGAGGGTTTTTGTAATTTGACAATAACTCAGGGGGTGGCCGTAATTTGCCCATAAAATCAATGGCTAATCATTTTCGAAACAAAAATTAAAATAAAAATGAGTTTCCTTTCGAAACATGATGATATTAAAGTGTTTTAGAGAGGAAAATGCGACGAAGAGGCTGAGATATCACGGCGTAAGGTGAACAAGACAAGACTGCAATGTGCTAAAATAAAATGCCATTTTTATTATTTTACATGCGAAAGAGCAAAATTATTTTCCTAATACTATTAATTTTCTTATTTTGTTTCTTTAAGAGATGTCTATGTAATGATTTCAAAATAGGAGGGGTATCTATTTATTAAGATCTAACCTTGGGGATGACAATGTAATTTACTTACTATTTGCTAAGAGGTAAAATTTAAATTTCAAAAAATTCAATGGTCAAATGAATTAATTGTTAACTAATATCAACCTCAATAGAGGTACGCGTAACTTTTTAATTTTCAAATTAGATGAGGTCTAGCTGTAATTGCACCTAATGTCAGGAGAGAATATGCAATTTTACCCTTATAGATATCCCTAATTTGCAAAATTAAATAACCAATAAAATATGCATCATCTAACAATTTCTCCTTATGTCAATATTAAGTTAATATCTTTTAGATTCTAAGGTCTCGTTTGGTTACCATCTTCTTGATAAAATTTTACAATATATGATTCAAATCTTACGATTCGATTCGATTTATGTATTCATCGATTCAAATTTTATAATAAGATCTTAAATGCCACAAAACCATAATTGAATTTGTTAAATTTGGCAATATTATGACTCGATTTTTATGCTTAGGATTTTTGAGATTTAAGAAAATTTATTATATTTTGAGAAAAAAAAATGATTAGAAAGAAAATTATTAGAGTAAGTTAAGTATGATAGATCAACATGATATTTATTCACACTACGGTTAATCAAAATACATTTCGAATTTCTCGTTAACACTTTATGTTGGATTTTCGGGCGAATTGCATTTAGGCCCATAGGTTCAGACTTAATTGCACATATATCCGGACCAAAAAAAAGTCTATACTCTTGTAGTTTTTCAAAATACTCCTCAAAATATAATTTACATCAATTTCATCCATAAAACCATAACTTAAGTAATACTGCAATTGACCCTCGATTTTAACAAATATGTCACATTTTCACAATTTTTTGAATTTGTTTTTTTATGAATTCATTTTTTTCCAAACACTGACTACCATTGATTTTTTTTTTTTGATTTTTTTTTCCGATTGTGGACCACCGGTCTCTGGCGTTGTCCTTTTTTTTCCTTGAACCTTTTTTCTCGTCGTTGACAGGCGGTGGTCAAAACCGCCCTAACTTTATCTTCTTCTTCTTCTTCTTCTTTTTTTTTTTTTTTTTTTTTTTTTGATTTCTTTCCTATCTTGAATTGGTAGCACAGTAAGATAGATTACTGTGAACATAATCTCTCGTAATAAGCTACAACAACGTTAATTCTCGAAAGAATTCGCGTAACAAAGCCGTTGAGGAATTCAGTTCATATGAGATGCAGCGCGATGTCTCTGATTGCGGCAATTTAAAAGTTCTTCAATGGAAAAGCCGCTAAGGAATTCAAGCAAATATTTTTCCCAAAAAATTGGTAGGTTGGATTTTAAAGGAAAAAAATTTAAAGGAAATTTTAAATCCAGTAACCGGTAACCATCCCCAGGAGAATCATTTCCTTCCCGGGAAAGCTTCTTTTTCGGAGTAGAACCAGCATACATTTCCTCCAAGCTACATAGGAGGGGGTTTTCCCCAAGGGTCCCCTTCCGGGATCTTTTTTGGCCGCCGCCGCCGCCCCCAGAAAATTTTTTAGTTCCCCCCCCGTTCATGGTCAGGCCCCGAAAATCCCCTTTTTTTAGGGCCCCATTATGGCGGTTCCTACCAGTTTTCCCAGGGGGGTTCCGGTTATTGCTCCCCCAAAAAATCTGGGCAAAAATTTGGTGGCCATTCCTGGGATGGATTGGAAAATTAGGTTTCGGATGCTGCGGGGGGTTGTTTTAGTAAAAACTCTATTTCTGGCCCCAAAATTTCCGCCGGGGGGGGGGGGGGGGGGGGAATTGGCCCGATTTGAGGCCCTCTTAGCCGTAGAGATCGTAGATCTGGCGCTTCTGATACATCGCAGGCTTTGGAAATCTGCTTGAATTTGGCCTCGGACTCCTCCTAGTTGGCGTTTTTGTCGGGATGCCAAATCATGGCGAGGCGGCGGTAGGCTTTCTTCAAGTCTTCGTCGCTGGCGTTGCGGTTCGCTGTCAGGATGTTGTAGTAATCATTCCCCATATTTGGGTTCCAATTTGAGGGGGGAATTGGTCCGATTTGAGGCCCTCTTCGCCGTAGAGATCGTAGATCAGGCGCTTCCGAGGGTCGCTGAGTACATCGTAGGCTTCGGAAATCTGCTTGAATTTGACCTCGGCCTCCTACTTGTTGGCGTTTTTGTCGGGATGCCAAATCATGGCGAGGCGGCGGTAGGCTTTCTTCAAGTCTTCGTCGCTGGCGTTGCGGTTCACTTTCAGGATGTTGTAGTACTCAATCCCCATATCTGGGTTCCGATTCCGATTGTTGAAATTGGGGCTTTTTTTTCTTTTTTTTTGTAATTCCTGTTACGGGAAGTGATTGATTGCAGATGTGAGAGAAGGAGGGCGGTGGTGGTGGGCGGGGTCCGATTTGAGGCCCTCTTCGCCGTAGAGATCATAGATCTGGCGCTTCTGAGGGCCGCTGAGTACATCGTAGGCTTCGGAAATCTGCTTGAATTCGGTCTCGGCCTCTTGCTTGTTGGCGTTTTTGTCAGGATGCCAAATCATGGCGAGGCGGCGGTAGGCTTTCTTCAAGTCTTCGTCGCTGGCGTTGCGGTTCACTGTCAGGATGTTGTAGTAATCAATCCCTATATCTGGGTTCCGATTTGAGGGGGGAATTGGCCCGATTTGAGGCCCTCTTCGCCCGATTTGAGGCCATCTTCGCCGTAGAGATCGTAGATCTGGCGCTTCTGAGGGTCGCTGAGTACATCGTAGGCTTCGGAAATCTGCTTGAATTTGGCCTGGGCCTCCTGCTTGTTGGCGTTTTTGTCGGGATGCCAAATCATGGCGAGGCGCCGGTAGGCTTTCTTCAAGTCTTCGTCGCTGGCGTTGCGGTTCACTTTCAGGATGTTGTAGTACTCAATCCCCATATCTGGGTTCCGATTCCGATTGTCGAAATTAGGGCTCTTTTTCTCATAATTCCTGTTACGGGAAGTGATTGATTGCAGAGAGGAGGGCGGTGGTGGTGGGCGGGGACCGATTTGAGGCCCTCTTCACCGTAGAGATCATAGATCTGGCGCTTCTGAGGGCCGCTGAGTACATCATAGGCTTCGGAAATCTGCTTGAATTTGGCCTCGGCCTCTTGCTTGTTGGCGTTTTTGTCAGGATGCCAAATCATGGCGAGGCGGCGGTAGGCTTTCTTCAAGTCTTCGTCGCTGGCATTGCGGTTCACTTTCAGGATGTTGTAGTAATCAATCCCCATATCTAGGTTCCGATTCCGATTGTTGAAATTGGGGCTCTTTTTTTTTTTAATTCCTGTTACGGGAAGTGATTGATTGCAGATGTGAGAGGAGGAGGGCGGTGGTGGTGGGCGGGGCTGCGGTGGTTGAAATTTAGAGTAGTAGAGAAATTGGGTTTGAACAAGGAAGGTGGTGACGAGGTATGTGACTGGGAAGGAGGAAGAAGGTGGGGTTATTTTTTTAATTTTGTTCATATGAGTTTTTACCTGGAAAAAAACTAGGGCACGGATGCAAGAAAGGGGAAGATGAAGATTGTAGTATTTATAACGATTAATTTTGTAATTGAGGTATTTTCGAAGGATATTTTCGACGTTACACATGGGTTACAAAAGGGGATTCAATATGTGACAACTAGTCAAGCCATCTTTGGCCTGACTAATAATAATTCGAATGGGGTATTAAATGGGTGGGCCCAACAGTCAAGGATGGTTAACTCAAGCAAACCAAACGTTGTACAAAACGGTAGAACCCATCCCATCCCTTGTAATACCCCAACCAAAGAGGCCCTCAAGGTATAAGGGAAAAATTGACTGGTATTCCTAGTACACCTTATTTTTACAACACCATTTAAAATACGCATATATTATTTCCCCACAATTTCGACTTACTTGACCGTCGGAGTGCTTATATTGTCGGGAAATCTTTCCACGACACACCTTTTTTGCAGGTCTCTTGGGAGTACGTGGGTTTTTTCTTTGGTCCTTCCTATTTCGAGGCTTGTCCCATTCATTTATCTTGGGTTATCGATATAGGCCAGATCACAAAGCGAATTTACACAATTAAATAAATGAGGACTTTGTGATACGGGTGTGCACGGATCGGTACGGTTCGATTTTTCCAATAAACCAAATACGTACCGATAATATCGTTCTTTCATATTTTAAGAACCGAATATGTCGGTTTTTTTCGGTTCGATGTTAATTGGTTTTTCGATTTTTGGTTTATGGTTTCCGTATCAATACGGTTTATTTTGAATTTCGATTTCGTCTATTTGTTCGAAACGGTTCGGCATAAAATCGATATATTTGAACTTTCATTATATTTATTTTGAGAAAACTAATAAATAATAATCGAAAATTAACTAATAAAAAATACGTGACAACCAAAAATTAATTAATAGAAAAACATGTCACATGGAGGCGCTCGAAAGAAGAGGCATGCTAGGGTAAGTATTTATACTATATATCAAAAAGACTTCATTTTGTATAAATAGATTCGGTTCGGTAAATCAGTTCTGTAATTTTTTTATTCCCCATACACAAACCGATATTTTCGGTTTTAAATTCTTTTTTTACCGTATATGCGGTTTTAAGTCATAACGGTACATATCGACTCGATTTTTTCGATTTTCGAGTTCTCAATTTTTCTGCTCACCCCAACTCTTAGATGTTTGCCCAATAAAAAAATGATTATTAATTTAAGCTAAACTTTTTTCATTGTTCCCTTTGGTTTAACTTCATTATTACCAAAACATGTTTTCCAAACTAATTGAATGAATGCGTTTCCAGTAAAATTTTTATAACTTAATACTCGATAAATTAATAATTTTGCTTAAATAATATATTTTTGCGAGACTAGGTGAAAACGTATTAAATTATTAGTTCATCAATCCAATAATTCCCTAAAATAATAAAATTTTACTAATTCCAACTATTTAATTTATGGAGATTTAACTGTATATACTTACGCAATCCCATAAAAAATGAAGTTTATAGAGAGGCAAAGAAGTATAGTTAAATTTGATGATGGTGCTTGTCTCTGTGCAACCACATTGTGCACTACTAACATATAATCATAACATAGTGTCATTACAGTAACACAAGATTTGGGTGTCTTGTGAAACAGTTAACTTTGTTTCTTTGTTTGCATACAATTAGGCACATTGTGTACCCTAAAGCAACATCATATTCTGTAAAATTATGATCCAACAAATTATGATGTTACACGTAAATCCCATTAGTTTCCAAATCCATATTTATGCTATAAAGTTGAGATGTAAATTTTTCGAAAGGCCAAATTACGAAAATCTCCCTGATGTAAGGTCTATATTTTGACGAATAAAAATCAGAGAAATTTTTGTAATTAGACTTTGCCCTAGGGGGTTTCTTGTAATTTAACTTTTTTTTTATATGATACGATACGACCCTTTCGAACACCCTTTTCCGCGGTGGTATCTTTGAAATTTTATTTAATTATTTCTTTTGTGCCATTTCTTTGAATTTATGCTGCTAAAAAAATTAATAATTAAATAGACTTTTTTTTACATAATAATAAAACCATAAGTAATTTTATTTTATGTGCACTACTTAAAATAAAACAAAAACAGTAAGGAAATAATTTGAAGAAGTAAAAAAACAATACTACAATTTTGGTATGCTCTACTTGGAGAGTCATTTATCAAATCTCTAATTTTGGAGAGTCGTAAATAGGGGTACAAAAACCGAACTTAGTAAGCTCAAGTTTGAGCTCAAACCAAATTTATTTAGCTCAAACTCGAAAATAATTTCTTTAGTTCGAGATGAAACTAATTTTTTTATACTCCCTCCATTCCATGATATTTGTAACTTTAAAGAAATTTTATTGTTCCATATTATTTGTCATTTTACAATTTCAATATTGTAATAATTACATATTTTATAGGGGTATGTACTTATTAACTCTTGAACATTATCCATGTCTTAATTAATAAATAAGGGTATTTTGGTCTAACAATATATTTTTTTTTCATAAATTCAAGATTCATTTATTAACATTCTTAAGACTTATGCAAAGGTGAAAAAAGACTGTTAATTAAGAACGAAGAAAGTATATATTAAAAAAAAAAATTATAACAAAACTTACAAAATAAAAAATGAACTGAAATTTAATTTTTCTACGTATTCTTTTCACGGTAAATTCCACTTTTTCTCTTTGTATTTTTTCTCGAATTACTTTATCTCTACTACTCTTGATTTTATCGATTTACCTCCATGTACTTGAAAAATGTCTCAATGTGGCTCTCGCGGTTAGTTTTCAGACCTCTGACCTTAGCACCATTGATCTAAGTCTGAAAAATACAAAAAAAATACCCCCCAGTTTAAATAATTATTAATAAACTTAATAAAAAAAAAATTGTTGCTGGCGTCGTGGACTATGTTTTCTCGTTGTCTTGAATTTTTTATTATTATTTTTTCATTTGTTTTTGTATAATAGTTTAAACTAGGAGAGGTGACGTTTTTGTAATTTCAAATCTTCGATCAAATGGTGGTGTTAAGGTTAAATATCTGACAACTAATAGCAAGGGCCATATCGAGATAATTTTTCTAGTGCAGGAAGGCAATTCGATACAATCGAAATTAGAAGGGGGTAAAGTGATATCGAGTCAAAGTACAAGTAGCAAATTTTACCATTCTTTTTATATAATAAAAAAACTAGCGGGGAATCGGTTCACAAGCTTATGGAACAATTAAAATGGATTCAGTATCGAACTTGTTAGAAAGCTCGAGCTCGTAACCACATACTAAAATAAATAAAAAATAAAAAATAAAGTAAATTGGAAAAAAGGAGTCAACATCGAGTGCTGTAGAAATTCATGGGTCATAATTAAAAAGCCTGCAGAAAAATTTAAGTCGATCGAAAGCAATTAATATAATAAAAATTAAAAAACATAGCCCATAACTACTATTAAAGGCCTTCTGTTGCAGACTACACCAATAATAATAGCTACCCTCCCCCACCATCAAACAAATGCCTTACCTGCAACTCCTTTTATTGCCTCTTTTATTCCCTCACATTTCTGAGTTTTTATTAACCACATTATTTTTTTTCTAAAAATACATTTTTATTCAGAAAAATATAATTAATTTATTTATATATATGTAAGTATACGTACACTTCTACACCCCACCACATGTTACCAACTCATGAACATGAATATCTAGGAATAAGAATAAGAATGATTGTCCCGACCAAATTTTACTTGAGGTAAATGCATAACTATTTCTTTTACTCCCTTCGCCCTAAAAATATGCATGGATTATAACCCAAATTACGGCCACCTTTGAAGTAAGTTTAAATTACGAAAATCCCATATTTATCTGGGTAATTACAACCACTTTGCTCGGCTATGTATTGTGTTACACATTCTCTTACAGTTTTAAATTTATCTACTGAATGAATGGGCGATTTCGTAAGACAATACCTAGCTAAGGCGAGTGATTGTAATTATCCAAACATAATGAATTTTTTCGTAATTTGATTATATCTCAGAGGATGGCCGTAATATGCCTAGCAAAAAATACAAAAAGTGGTTGAATATATACTCTTATCTTTAATTATATATCATTGATTTTTCTTTCAAATAGTTAAGAGTGAACCATAATAAAATTAAGAAAATTGTAATTAATGTATTCATTGGAATTTAATAGTAAAGTGACAATTCAAAACAAAAAATATTCTCTAAACCTAAACCGACAAATACTTTAACACGTAGTGAGTATTTATTTTAATTGCTAAAAAAGGTCCTCATGTTATTTTTTATTATCATAAAATCTCCTATGTTTATTGTATATTAGCTCCATGCCCCAAACTTATTTTATAGGTTTTACTAAGTGAAAATTGACTAGCAATTAGCACAAGTAGAAATTGTTAAATTCCTACATTTGTCTAAATACTTTTACTGTCAT